GGGCAAGACTCATGCTAAACAGACTGGGAAGCACATTGAACTTGTACTGATTTTTACATCTGGCTTTACTCAGTCATGGGGGACTAAAAACTACTGAAGAAGCTCCTCTGCTTTCCAAGCTGAACTGGACTGAATGGTAACGTCAGCCTTGCAAAGAGGTACCGCACGATTCCCTGCAACTCCTCACAGGCACCTGGAGTTAGCTGCTACGACAGAAGCACCTCCAAGTACTTCAGATAGGCTGGTTCTACAGGGAGCCTGGAGCTGGCACCACTAATTACTCTCATCTATATCATTTAAACATTTGAGAGTAAGTGGGTAAGGACGGACAAACACAAGGCAAGGGCACAACGTTTCCAGAGTTCTCTTCTCCTTGCCACAGTTTGTCAGATGTATGCAAAACTTCTGAGAAGTTTTAAGGCAAATTATGATTTAATGAAGACTCTGCAACAGGAATGCAACTAACTTTCAGTTCATTCTTCTACAAATATATTGTATTTTGTATATTGTATACTGTCTGCCACAGTTTAAAACAAAACCAACCAACCAACCTAAAAGGATCTATTCCATCTCCTTATTTGAGTGATCATTTTGTAAACACTATTCCAAACCATTTATTATTCATGTCCCCCAGCACCGCCAGCCTAGACCCACAGTAGGACACAGCCTGCTGGGCAGATTCATCCCCTTGGTGCTCACCAAGGATCCAGTTAGTGCTGGATCCTCAGTCCTGGTGCCCAGCACAGCCCTGCTCGGTGTCCGCTGCTGCCCCTGGCTGCATTAACACTCCAAAGAGTCACAGGTCCTGCTGCTCCTGTGTCTCGAACACCAACACAGGCACTCCGTGATGCCAAGCAGGTTCTGGCTTCACTGGTGAAGAAGTGCAAAACACAGGAAGGAACATGTAAGGCCGACTTGGTGTAGGAACCAGAGCCCCTTTTAAAGCGCTACTGGAAAGGTTAAGTAACTTGCCTGGAGTCACTCTGGACACAGTTTCCCAGCGCAAGCCTCATGGCTCGAGCACAGGGCAGTTCGCCCCACAGGCGATAGAGAAGGCAGGGCTCTCCTGGGGCTGAGGCCAGCTGTGCCCTGCAAGTTTAATGCCACTGTGTGGCCCAGATACAGTGAATAAGGAATCCCTTTTTCACACTCACCAGCCTGACAGTAAACTGCACCACAGCTTGGCTTGAAACTCCTTTTCCAAACAGCTGTCCGGGGAAAGGCTGCTTCTTGTAGCACTGACAAGTCCTCACAGAGTCCAGCCCTGCTTGGGCACCATCAGGGGCTGCAAACAGCAGCAGGTACCTCTGTCACAGCCTCCCACACAACAAAGTGCTTGTCCTGTCAGTCAAACTCTTGCTCACCCAGAGAGCCACTCTTCTCGCCTGCCTCCACCTCATTTCTGCCTCGTTTACTGAACTAACCAAATTTCTCCTGTGTACAGGGCTCACACATGCTTTAGAAAGTACCTGCATCCTCTAAAAAGCCTGTGCGCTCTTCCCAAACTCTAATATTCACCTTTTATTTGAACAAAGTGGCCCAAACATAGTTTCACCACTCAAAGGTGAAGCCACATGGGTACCCATAGGCAAGTAGACCTCTCAGTTTTCCTCCCACACTGCAGCAAAGAGACCTGCTCCTTCAGGAGGCCTGGGTGACAACCACACACTGCCAGCACGGGTTGGAGCTGTAGGGAATCGGGTGCACAGCAGGCTGTGGGATCTTCACCCAAGTACCATGGTCCACGTTGCTGTGTCCCCATCACCAGCACAGGGTCATGCCTGCATTGAGACATAGAAGCGGTAAGCCCTGGCTACTGCCATTCACAAGCTCTACTTCTTGAGAGACACTTAAACCACATATCCAAGTGCAGAGATAGCTTTCCAAAATGGATACGGTCCCAGGACCAAATGGCCCAAACGCAGATGATTGGGGAGTCACTGTGAAGTTCTCACTCCTGAGGAACGTAACTTGCTTTCTCCAAAGATGTGTAGCTCTCTAATTATGGTTGTTGTCTGTGACTTCTCTGCTTCCTTCTTCCAAAGAGTCACCTGAGGGCTGCAACAACTTAAAACAAGGAGAAACGAACCAGGAGGGGAGACAGAAAGACCAGAGAGAAAAGGAAGGCTAGCAGATCGCAATACTCTTCCTAAACATGGACCAGGGTGCATCTCCAGGGAGGGGAAAAGGGACTGGGAAAAAAGTCTTCTCATCTGTAGGGTGTAACTAGAGAGAGAAATCCACCCCTAACAATCCCACCAGGCTTCCAGCAGAGATTAATTAGCCCATCAACTGGGGCCAACTTCTAGCAGAGCATCCTCAAAGAGCAAACGGCAGACTGCTGCGCGTCAGATGGCTGCAGAGAAGGGAGTGCAAAGGTACAAAGGCAGGACTGCGGATGGGGCTGAAGGAGAGAACAGCCCAGAGTGGCTGAGGAGAAGCCTGGATGTATGGAGAAAGGCAAGCAGGGATGTGAATGAGCAAAAAGTGATGAATGGTATTGAGGGCATGGCAGTTTTACACGGGGCAGAGAGCAAAGACAGACCTGAATGGGGGAGAGTGAAAGACGCTGCTTGAATGGAAGGGGAAAGAAGGAGGAGAAATGAAGCAAAGAGAGAGCAGAGCGAAACAGTGAAGACAGAATAACCTCCCACGTGGACTCAACAAGGCCTTAGAGAGAAAGACAAGTAACACAGCATGAGCTTTAATCCACAAGCAGAAAAGCTGCCCAGAGCAGATAGCATTGCCATCTTCTGTCCCTTTACAATCTCTCCACCGTCAGGCACCTTCTTTGCTCCCAATCAACAAATTCTCATGAACCCAGAGCAACTCAAACAACAGCCACCAAAGGCCACACAGCCCCCATTAAAGGGAACTGTAGCAAAACTGAGCCAAGGGCACAAAAACAGCTGATGGGATAAAGCACCTTGTAATTACAAGGGGGTAGCCTGAGAGATGCCAAATGCAACGATGCCACAAGTGTGGGATAAGATGCAGCTTACACGTATAACGTTACTTATCATCAGTGTTATTTGCAGAACTTTTCACCTCTTTCTAAAGCCAGGATAAATTATTCAAAACAAAACTTTTCCAAGCAAAAACTTGGAGATTTCAGTCATGCTAAGACCTTCTTGTGAATTGTCTTAGTTTTGTGCGTTGATTGTTTAGAAGAAATTCCTCCAAATTCTACAAGCTAAAAATACTAAGCATCACCATTTTCAGAATGTTTCATTAGAAACTTTCTTTTTAATGTTAAAAGTGCCCAGATGTTAAAAGTGCTCAGGTCTAATGAAATGTTTTGCTGAAAGGAAAACAAAACGCATTTTTCCAATTTGGGGGGTAGGGGGGGAATTGCCAACAAAATTCTCAATGCTATTATTCACCCACTTCCATCCTTTTCATTGCTGGGGAAACTGAGGTGCATAGAAAGGAAGCAGCTTATTCAGGGTCTCAAAGTTAGCTGGCAGAGCTAAAAACTGAACCAACTCCCATCCCTTTCAGGTATGTGGGTTTAGATAGGTCAAGGCCTCAACAATCCTCCTAGGTCTTTCAGTCACCCTCTACATGATCCTGTGCCAAATCTCATTTTCCCAGCTGCAAGGCAAAAGATACAGTGACTCACCCTACAAGGGATAGCGTAAAGCCTTAAATCATGGCCCTTTACTTCATGCTCAGAAAATCTTTCATATCTGTCAGGAATAACCATTTAAAAGCTAATTCAGCGTCTGGAGCTCATGTTTCACTTGCTCATAAATAGACTCCACTGTCACTCCAGCTAAAATAAGAGGTCAGAGAAATCAAGTAGAAGGTAGGACATGGCCCTCAAAAACAAACACAATGGAAAGGAAAACAAATTTAAATCCAAGACCTGACTCTCCTCTGCCTTTTCAGTGCATTGTGGAAGTCAAATATTTAAACTGTTTTTTAAAGAATTGCTAGAGGAACCATGAGGGGTCCACGTGTGCCTCAGCCTGAAGCTCTGGTCCTGCCTCTCTTGCTTATTTGATGCTTCTTGCACCAAACATGTTAAAGATCAGTGCAGCAAATTTTAAGCAAACAAAAGCAAGCACCTTGGAATCAGAGTACAAGAAGTGACACATTTGAGAAAAGATATGAGGTTTTTTAATTTTTGTAATGGAACAGCAAAGGAGCTCCTGATCTGAGCCGATCATTAGTCCTTTTCAAAGAGGTCCATAAATGTAGGACAGGGATTTGGGAACTGGCCGTTAGCAATCATGTCTCTAGGACATACTTCATTTTGCAAGGATAATTTGTGCTCTTTATGATCCACAGTGGTACCACCGCTGTCAGCTTAGTAAACAGAGTACCACTTTATGCATTAGGAAGCCAAGGCAGAGAGACCAAGTCATTCACCCAAAGATGCAGGAGACCTAAAGTACTACTATAGCTGAGATCAGCTGCTGTACTCCAGCCACCCACATGAAGTATTCCTACACTGCCACCTAATAACTGATCAGTAAAAATTAGAAAGTGCCAGTTACTAGAAGGGAGATTTTTAAGGAGGGGTCAAGAAAGAGTAAAGGTCAAAGCACCTCTGGGAAATACACTAAGCTTGGTGATATCCACAGGCAGCAAGGAAGGACGTACGAGTGAGAGTCTCTTCTGGAAACAGCAGTGAGATGAAGGGATCAGGGCGTGTGCGCGTGCATATGCAGGTATACACACACAAACAAAGGTGGCAGAGGGACTGTAAGGGTCTCTAGAAGGGCTGCCCTGTGAAAGCTGACAAACTAGAACGCTGAACTTTGCAGGACAGTTGAGCCCATGGAGAACTATAATTGCAAATACAAGAACGTCTTGCTTCTCCATCTGCCAGACTGGACTTGGGCAGATCATGTTACATATGGGACTGGGGGGAAGGGAGAGACAATATGAATCATTCTCAATGCAATGAAAGGAGCGTACGCTGTGCAGCTGCTGCAGGGTGAGCAAGCCCTGCCTAACAGCACTAGCTATTGCTTTGGGTTAAGAGATCATACCATTTCAGCCTCCTTCCTGACTTGTATTTGAGCTTCATCCCAGCTGCTTTCCTCTTCCTTTAGTGCCTGCCTGCAGGAACAACTAGTTCCCTGGAAGAAATCCAAACATGAGAAAAAAAAGAGTTACATGTGCCAGAGGGAAGTGACAATCCAAGGCAGGGCACTGCTAAGCGTATGAGCATTCAAGCAGGGTCAATATCTACTTTAAAAAAAAAAAAGCAGGGTCAATATCTACTTAAAAAAAAAAAAAAGTGCTATCCAGAAGAAGGATTTACTTAGACGGGACAGGCAGAAGCCCAAGCATCCTGTTAAGAAAAGCAGCCAGCAGGAAAAGGCCCTCTTATTGGGGTCACTTGAATCCACATCCCCAGGAAACTAGCAACCATTACCACTGTATCAGACAAACCTGTACTGTCAGCAGCTGAGAGCTGTCAAGTCATCCTTCCCCTGGAAGGGGCATCCTCATCCTGCACCCAAGATGGGAAGCCCAGTTCTTTCCTGCTCCCCAAATCTAGATGTCCCATATCAGACAGCCAAGGCAGAACCACAACCACAGGCTGATCAGTCTTCTAACGCAAATAAACTCGGAGTGTTTGGGACAGTTACAGTAAGCTCCTGAAAAGTTTGGCTTTGTACGCACCAGCAGCAAACATTGACTGAGCTCCTTTCTAAGGATGGGGGGTGACAGGAAGGCTAGGCTGAGGGATGATAGGGATCAGCTTCTCAGAGGGATGATAAGGAAGGAAGGCTTGTTTAAACCTAAAGATTCTCTGGGAAGAAGTGTGGAGCTGATGGCAAGGAAGGCAACAGATACTACATACAAAAGTTGCTGGCTGGAAGCCTCAAAATATTCAGGAAAGTGTGGCCACTATGGTAGATCCATGGAGCTGTCACTCGCGTTACAGCCTTCATCCCATAGACAGAAAAGACTTCCGTAGCATTCATTCAGCTAAAGATCTCAGTCCACAGGATTCAGATACCCAAGCAGAGCTCCTACAAGAGCCAAGTCTGGACAGAGCACAAACACCCCGTCCAGAGCAACCACAGGCAGTCTTCAGGCTGCAAGTGCACAGTGCCTGGCTCTGTCTCAGTCACTCCAGCCCTCATTGCTCCGTCTCTTGGTTATCTCAGCATGCTTCAGCCCCATGAATCTCACATATATGCTCTACTTTTGTTGTAGCCCAGGGCCCACGCAGCAGCCCTGGAAAAAAACTAAACAAAAAGCAATCACCGCCTTAAATCCTGTCATGCAAACAAGACCCTTCCCACCCATTGCCACAAGGGCTGAATGGAAGGGGACTGAATGCCCCCGCCCATCGCTGCCTGGTGGTCTGTTTGTCTCGTGACCTTCCCCACACAAACACAACCCCACAACAATCAGACAGGCAACATAATGTGCCAGTGCCGGCTTTCCCAGCCCTTGAAGGCAAGCTGGGGAGGGAAGGCCGGAGAGCTGGGGAGAGCTGAAAGGATTTGGGGATGAGGAATGGATGGGATGGGCAAAGGAAATAACAAGCAGTGTTTTAATTTCTATGTGCACAGTCTCACAAGCCAGGATAAAAATAGTTTTAATGAAAGAAAGAAAAGAAATGTTATCTCAAATGGCTTAAAGTGACAGGGGAATACCAGCCAGTGAGATTTTCACTAAAAAAAATAAAAATAAAAATAAAAATTCAGCAATGCTTCTAAACTTTGTGATTGTCTTTTAACATTCCCTCCAAGAATCCCACAAAATTAAGCCCTTTGGTGCAAACTACTGAGTTTGCTCCCTCTGCACTTGGCTATCTTTGAGATTTAAAGCCTGAGACAGATTAGCTGCAAGGCTTTCGTTTAGACTGAGAGAAGGGATATGACATTTTTGCAACAGCTCTAGCTAGCACCAACACACATGGAAATCCTCCTCAGTGTGATATCCTCAAAGCACAGAAAGTTTTTGCCAATCTGTCCTAACTACGGAGAAAGAGTCATCAGACGTGCTACTGGCAGCAAGGAGTAACGCCTCCAGGCCCTGGACTGTCCTTGCAAGGTAAAGGATACCCTTTGGTTACTGCAGGACACATACCACCCTCGTGAACAGGAACAAAGGTCTCCTGGGACTTGTTAGGACCTGATTAGGGAGCAGATGAGCAGGGGATCAGCGAGGTAAGGGGAAACTCCTGCCTTCCTAAATGCAGAGGGATTCCCCCATGTTCCCCATGAGCATACAGGAAAAAAAAAAGCACAGGCTCCACAGGAGGTAAACCAAGTAAGTAAAAAGAAATATCATATCTCAGGCCCTGGATTCAGTGAGCAGAGCGCGGCCCCTGGCTACACTCCAGGACATTGAAAACACAGACTAAGTACCGTTACAAGTGAAGGAGGTTGTGTTTTTGCCAAGAACTAAGATCTGTGTCCCAGGAAATCCTGGCAGCGGAGACGATAAAGAAAAAGCAAGCAAAGCTACAGGAAAGGGCTTGTGTGATTTATGGACACAGTAGCCACCTAGGGAGCATGTTACAGTAAGTTAAGAAATGACTTCTCAACTCCTACTGCCAGCACATCCTGCAATGCTGTCATCGCCGCCCACATCCTTGATTAAAGTGCTGCATTTGCACAGCAGAAACCACCCGATGAGCCAGGTATGGAATCACCCCTCCATGGGATGATGCAGGTGATACAAAGAGACTAAAAGTCTTGACAAAGGCCACCCACAGTGGCTGGCTGCAGAGGATGCCTGTGCCAAACCAAGTACACAATGCACCAGGTCACATCTGGCCAGCTGCCCCTGGTAAGTGGGGAATGGAGCTGCGACCGACTCTTGCCGGTGTCCTGACATGAACTGGAGCAACTGAAGGAGCAGCAGCAATGAGCCTACACACAACTGGCAAACTTCCCACAGCAAGGATACCCATCTCCTGTCAATCCACTCAGCCTTAATCCTCTGTGGAAAGATCCCATCAGCACCATGCTAAGAGGCAATCTTTCAAGCCAGATGCTAACAATTAATGACAGTGAAGATGAGAGAGGAAGGGACAGATGGAGAACAGATATAACCTGGCTCTGCTCATCACAGTGAGTTACTTGCAGGAGCCGGACAGGAGACATATAGGCAAGATTTTTAGCCTTGCTCAGCCCTGCAGAAACTACTTAAGCCAGCATGGGACAGTAAATCTAGGGTACCTACAGAGACAGGTGTAAGCCAATGACAGCGTCAGCCTCCCTGCATGTTCTCACTAAAAAGGAAGTAGCGGTGGACCAGCTGTGAAGCTGCTTTGGGATCTGCAGTATTTCTATCCCCTGTAGGATGGGCACGAACCTGCCACTGGTTTAAGCATTTGCACCCTGAGCCTGGGTATATCTCCAGCACTGAGGGGGATCTAGAGTTTTCAGTACATTCCACAAACAAAGATTTCAGCAGAAATCATCTTCAGAAATGAGACTACTCAGGCAATAGTGGGATTTTCAACAAAAACAGTTACCATGCATGCTAGCAAAACACCTGTGTTAGCGGGTAGCTGTCTGTCAGCTTCTTCACCTATCAATCAAGGGAGGGAATACAGCTGAAAAGCAAAGAGCTCCAACTCCCATGGCCCAGGCCCATCTTGAACACAGAGCACACTCTTCCTCTGACACTCCTACGCTAGGAAATCTCACTACATATGTAACTACTTGTTGTAGCAAGCCAGGCAAGTACAACAGACTGGGCTGTTTAGGTGAGATTCACTCCTGTCCCATTGTATAAAATAGTTAATTTTACTTTCTATTAGTCTTTATTGTGGCAATGAAGATTATATGGCCATTTTAATGGACCAGTGCCGCTTGCCCAATCTCTCACCTCTACTAGCAAACTTTGGAGGCAGCTAAACTAAAAATGATTTCAGAAAATGCCAGCTGGGGCTATTAGAAGAAGCACGGGCTGGTGAACAGCTTCTCCATTCACTCTTCTCTTCCCAGGCCTTGCAGGCACTGGGCTCAGACAAGCTGAAGGGAGAATTCTTCTTGCACCAATGGGACAGTTTAGATACCCTGGATCAGTAGTGGTGGCTGATGGGGGGTATCTCGAAGGCTCTTACAGCCCTACACATCCTACCACTCCTTTTCCCTGAGCCATGCAAGCTGGCTGCTGTATGCAGAGCTGGCAGCTAGCTGCAGAGCACCCCAGCCTGGCTGTGCTCCATCTGCTGCCTGCCTGCCATGGTGCTGGAGTATGGGAGAAGAGCTGCAGCCAAAGGAAGCAACGAGCAGAGCTGTTCCAAGAACCACATCACCACCAGTCCAGCATGCACACGAGCACGTCCCAGCACAGGATGTGCTGCAAAATGGGGGACTGTTCTAGTGCTGACTGGGAAGACAGGAGCAAAGGAAGCAATGGCTTTTCCTGGCTTCCAGCTATCAAGGGGGACAGGGCTCTCCTCCGCAGTCTCTCGCTGTTTGTTGAGCCCTTTCATGGGGCAATTGCTCACCGTAAGAGGGAGCCTACAACTAGGTGTCTCCCAGTCTCCCTGCTCCACGCTACACAGGCCAAGAAGTGGAGCATACAGCCCAGCTCAAGTAAAGTAAGGCAGAGCTCCCCAAAAAAGAACTGGTGGTTAGTGCACAGGACTGGGCCTGGGGCTCCTTGGCCAAAGTGTCTGCAGCACGACGCTACCTTCTGCAGCCCCATACAGTGACCAATATCCAGAGATGCCAAATACCTCCAGCTGTCACTGAATTCACTGACTTGAGATAAGGCTCCCAGGGACCCTGGGCAGTGCCTGTTTGAGACACCAAGCCTCCACAAGAAAAGCAACTGGGTTTTGCCTGTGTTCTTGCCTGTTGCCCCTTCAAACAAACACAGTAGCTTTTACAAATTAAAAGAAAGGCTTATAGCAACAGTACATAGCAGACTGCAAATCCCTGCAACCACAACTGGCTGACTTCAGGGGCAAGACATCATACTCAAACACCCCTGTTTGCCTCTCAGGCATCTCAAGAACTCTGGCATGGGGAAGAAGCACTGTGAAGATGTCCCCCACACCTCTAGCCACCCCCTTGGCACTTTGCTGTGGTTCTAGTCCTGCTGCCCACCTGGTGAGTCTGGTCCCTTCAGCCGCCTTCCCAGAAACTTTCCA